GGATGGGACCTCCCCAAACAGGTCCCTGCAGGGTGGGCTGGTAGGACAAGTCTCTGCGCTGTCTATTGCTGATTTTACACCCAACAGCACGAGATTTCACTTCGTTAAAGTATTGAAAGGGGATGGACGGACGGACGCATTAATCTATTGCAGGCTGGTACACTCAGTTTACAACTTCGTTCCTACCAGTATAAGGCTCCTCATCACCATGGGCCTGTACTGCGGGCATGTGCAGTGCCATTAATAACAACAATAAATATTACAATAATTTTACAGACCTTTATTTATTATTCAAGTTTTTATAAGGTGCAGCAGACCCAACAAAAACGGGCTTCAGAGCGCCGTACAATTTTGATGTATTTTTAAATAATTAGTTTTTCTAACATATCAATCCACTGTGGAATGAGGGATCTGTTTGTGGTGTGTCAATATGAGTATATGTTTATTTTACGAGGTACCTACGAAAAAGTATTTGTCTTGATCCATTAAGTCACTAAGTGTGGGAGTAGACTAAACCCTACTTTAATTGGCATGTTACTGACATGGTAGTGAAACATAGGTGGTGCGTAGGGTCGTGCGTAACTTGAACGGCTTTGCACGGCAGGAGTCGTAAACAACGTGGCTTCAAATTTTGATTTAAAGCTTTCGTGACTGCAGTAATTCATATTCTTAGTTTTTTCGGTAAAGTCACGTTGAAGGGAAACAACAAAATAATAAAATATATATAAAACAATAAAAATTATCACGACGTTTCGACCATAACTCAAACGGTCGTCTTCAGGTGTGTTGGTTTGCATAAGTTGATTTTTAAACGGCGCATCTATTTATTTATAAAAAACGTTAGCGCCACGCGCAACGATTTGGCAGTTTATTTAGGACTAGTCCATCTATATTCTGAAAAGAGGAGGGGGGAGACGAAATTTTTTATAATGTATGCTGTCTGAAAGCCAATGTAAGCGTGAACAATCAATTAAGACCTGAAATGGTTTATCAAATATTTCCAATGATTGCTAAGATAGAATCCATCTTCTCGGTTGAAATTGTCTCTGTGCTTGTATATGTGGATAGCCTCATGAACGAATCTCTCATGGAAGCCAGATGGCTTACAAAGAACCTGTGGACCTGTGGTTCAAGCAGAAATTGATAAATCACTGTCAAGTGAAAGAGGTGCTCAGATTGCTAAGATTCATGGCAGATAGGATGTGTGAAATTTCTGGGAAGGATTAAGGAAATTCAGTACTAGTGAAACAGACATTGCTGATTATTATCCTAGGAGCAGCAGACCAAGAATAGCGCTGTCCGTAACAAATGTACGGGGATGGGAGGAAAAGCTTCAGGCCGCTTGGTCAAGGTAACAAGGAGACCAGGCTTTTGTGGGGAGCAGTCGTATGGCTATGTAGTGTGCACTGTGCAGCCTGTCCCCGTGTGGTACAAATTTGCATCAGCACACGCCTGCAAGTGGACATTAGTCTGCCAGTAGGGGACGATGTTGCTTTTAGTTATTATTTTAAGTACAGAAGAAATCCAATAATCCACGTTGACAGGGGGGGGGGGTATTTCGCAGATCCTGTAATCCATGGCACATGTGTGTGTGTTGTGTGTAGATGTATGTAATAATAATTTAGAACATTTGGTATTCACGCTATTCTTATATCACACGTCTATGATGAAGGCGCTATATTTCACAGGCATAGTCTGTGCTACTTTCACAGCAGTAGGGGCAATTATTGCAATATGTAATCTAAAATTGAGTAATTTAGGGGGTAATTTTACGAATCCGGCAAATGTGGAACATGATGCCAGCACACAACGGCCTGTGTCTTTCGAATTACGTAATGGGATATTTAATGTCCACTGTGAAGCAGACGGCGTGTATCTCACAGTTAAAGCGCCCGCAAGTATTGATCGGGGCGGCCTGCCGGGTTTGACCCGCGAACCTCTGCAACAAGCGGCAAATGAGCCACCGCTGTGTTGTATGCTTGCGCTTGCATTTTGTAAGAGTTCATACTGTATGCAGGTAACAGCACGTTTCACAGAGCCACCGGCACACAACATTTCAAGCAGTTTGTTTCGTATTTTCTGAAGATAATGTCCTTAGGCCTCTATCATGGACATTGTCGTACTGTATTATGCCCCCAGATTATGCTCTATTTGTTCACCAACCCATACCTAGCAGTGTGGTAAAGTACGGTCAAATAACTCCCACGACCTTCACGGTGTGGGGAGCTCCTCATCCAGAAATGGATTACAAAAAGGGGCTGTACATGCACAAGATAGTAACGATGGGGAGGGAGTAGCATGCAGAGGTGATCGACTGTGGAGGACTGGTATTTTTAGCAATCGCATGTAAAACCTGTAAGGCTATTTGACAGGCTCAGTAAACCCTTCCTGTTGCACATGTGGCTATAGCTGCTTATATTTCCGTCTACCTGATGCTCAATCACATGTACCCCATGGTCATCTTTAACCAAATTATTTGGTGATTCCGCGTTGGCAGTGGTGAACAAGCACAAATAACGAAAAAACCCAACGCATTCACCAACAACCCTGCCCTTAAAAGGGAAAAGTATAAACAGTAATAGATTTCATAGGTGACGTTTTGGGCAATGGCCATTCTTCACAACACATATAGAGAGCAGAGAGGTAAAGTGCTCATATTTTCTGCTTATTGTGTGAAGGTCTAGATTCCTTTTGAACTGGAAAGGTGACATACAGGGGATAACTGCGTTGAGCTGGAGTGATGTGTTTGCTCTGAAGAGGTAATGGCACTGAGACTTATGACGTCAGGTATGCAGCTGGTTTTCCCGTCTCGCTATTGATGCTGCCAGGAGCAAACATGAATATTGCATCGCGTAATTTTGGAGGGCGTATATGAGTGTCTATGTGTGCGCACATGTCCTGGGGTAATTTAGTGGTCTGGCTAGGAAGTGTTCGCCAGGACTTGTTCTGCAGGGCTTTTGTAATTTACTGCTCCATTATGCGTGGCTGCGTTACAGTAGATGCACGCTAAACAGGAATGTTGTGGTTTTGAGTATCTATAACTGTTGGTTGCATATCACCTTTTGTCAATTTAAAATAAGATGTATTCGGAATATATTTTAGACTGCTACTTGTGGATTAAAAGCAGCTTCTACCACTGCATGCTGCGCTCCTTTGATATGTTATTGAGTTTCTGCAAATTTTAAATGATCGTATTACAGTACTTTAAAACGGTCAGGTTCGTGTGGCTCAGCTTTGCTGGATAGTACAATTTCAACCAGGTACTGTTTGTGTTTATATTTTCCAAGTGTTGTGCTGTTGCAAGTGTTCGACACGGGTGTATGGTAGGGACGTAGAGATACATCATCAATTCACATCGATTATTTGACTCCCGATAGACGTGTGGAGTTGTGCATGACAGAATAGCTCATTTTATATTTGTGTTAATGTATGCAACGAGCCCACGTGACCCCTGCAGTCAGTAAATAGGTGTTAGAAGTCACATAAATGTAATTGATTCTCAAATTCAAGACAGTATATCCGAATTGTGACATTTCATTGCATTGCAAGAGGGTGGTCGAATCATCGCCGGTGTAGTGAGTGACCTCCAGTCAGGATTTGGCGAGCCATTGAACAAGGACGGTCACTGCATTGCACGCTTTTTCAGATGCGCTTCTGCGGTCGTTTGGAACGCTCTTCCTTCTGATAATAGGATTGCCTCTGGAGCTATGCACTTTTAAATGTAGATCGAAAACGTATTTCTTTAGATATGTTTTTGTGTGTGTGTGTGTGTTCAGGTTGTTGTCCTTACCCCCCGCACCTGCGATTAGCATTGTTGGCTATGCACGGTGCGAAAGAAATTCAATGTAGATATCTGTTTTGATTTAAAGCTTTCGTGACTGCAGGGACTCATATTCTTGGTTCTTTCGGTAAAGTCACGTAGAAGGGAAACACTAAAATAATAAAAATATAAAACAATGAAATCCTCACGACGTTTCGACTGCAACACAAGCAATCATCATCAGGTGTGAAAACTACAGCAAGAAAATTTGAAAAAAGTGGCGTTTTTTTTACGTTAGCACCACGGAGAGCGATTTGACAGTTTGTTCAGATGGACGAGTCCATCTATGTTCGGAAAAGAGGAGGGGGGAGACGAAAATAATGGATGCGGTCTGAAAGCCACCGTAAGCGTGAACAATCAGTTAAGACCCGAAATGGTTTTTTTAAATTATTTTATTGTTTCGCTTCTACGTGACTTTACCGAAAGAACCAAGAATATAGATATCTGTGTTTTAGTTACACTGAATGAGGCCACAGCCGTTTTATTCACCGCTTAAGAGATTGCCAACATGGTTGAAAATTATTTGCGTAAGAACAACTTTCTTTAGCCTACCAAGCCGTTTGGATTAAAGCTTGCTGCCTTTAATAGCATGGACTTGTGGACTCTGCTCTCTACGTAGCTTGTCTAGGGACAGTTCTGTAATTTGACTTAGAATACAATTGATTGAACTTGACGAGGAAGCGGTGTGGAATCTCCCAGGGGTTGTAATTGCCATATTTGTATAAATTTAACCGTGATCTTGTTTTGTGTTTTAACGGCTGACATGTAATTCACAAATCACCGAGATTCAACTGCAAATTATGATGACCTCTTATAGCACCTCACGCATAGTCTTCTCAGTAATGGAAGTGATGTTCAGGGATGGAACGGGGGGCGGGGGGGGGGCCTGAATCTTGTGGCTTTCGCCAAGTGTTGTTTCGTTCTGCGTACAGGAGTCTGGGCTGCGCGCACCGCCGGTGCTAATATCCTCCCTTGAGCCCAGCGTCAAAGCCACAGCTCCGCCCTCTGCGCCCACCCCATGTGCTGCTTAATCTCATTACAGGCATTAAGTGTGCTGTTAAAACCGTAATAAGTGCACTCGCTCCCCGCGTCTTCTTGAGTCTATAACGAGCCGTCAGTGGATGATCTCCACTCACCCCCCCTCTCCCCCCCGACGCCACCTGAAATTCTCTTCGGCGCAATGAATGAAGCGACGATGGCGCAAAACCCCTTCCTAACGCGATACCTGCAAGCCACCGGGGTGCTGCTCCCTCAAGGTGCGTTAAAACACGGCGTTGGCGTTGGTAACTCTGCGGGTCGCGCCCGAGAACGAGTCGAGTGAGAGAGGAGACTTGCGCTGGTGCTGATATCGAGAGCAGTTCTCATGCTGGGGCGGGGGGGGATATGATGAGGGCTCAAGAGAAATACGGAGGGCTTGTCGAAGAGTTCCGTAATTACTCGAGAGGTGGGAAGGGAAGAGGTGTTGTATTGAAGCATGGGAAGGAGGGTTACAGCTGCTGTGTGCAGATGGGGTTGTAGCTATAGCAGGGAGAAAGATGAATGTAGCAATAGTCTATGCTTTATTGAGCTATGATTGATAAATAATTACCTTTACTTAAGAAATGCATAAGTAAATATTACGCAACGCATAAAGTATGAAGAAACATATTTGTTTTAATATAATGTAACTATATTTTGCCCGGCAGTAGTCGCCCACGCCTGTAATTCAGCACTGTGGAGACTAGGATTGGTGGCTCGCACAAATGTTGCGAAACTCCTTTTGTCGTAAGTGTCGAGTTGCGATACCCTTGCTTGCTAGGAGAAGGGGGTACTACAAGTCCGGACAAATATCATCTGTCCCTTCTCTACGGGATAGTATTACTCCTTCCTCAAACGTAGGTTTGCTGTGGGCGCTCCGGTTTCCTCCCACATGTAGAAACACTAATTAACTGAAAACATCGTAATATATATAGAGGACTGCAGAGCTTGGACAATTATTGGAGCCGGCTCGCCGCCTGCCTGCCGTCCAGCCGCCTGGTTTCTGCCCAGCTTATCTGTGGTTCCTCAGCAATTGTGGGTTTGCATGAATAACACCGCTGTGTCAATACACATGTGAGTCCGCAATTATTTTTTAAATATGTGAAAAAGCAATTCCAATGTTTTTTTTGGTTACTGATTAATCAAAGTAAAAAGAAATGGCAGATGTCAGGCAACTACTGCTGCTCAAGTACTATTCCTAAATAGCGGCCAGACATCCTGCACACGCCCAGAGAGAACACGATGACCCATGACTTTGACAACAACGATGATTATGATGTTCATATTAATGATGCTGCCGATTTTGGTAATTCCAGAGATCTTTCATCTGTGACCCAATGGCCTTCGACTCCTATTATACAATTGACCACATATATGATCTTCCAAATATCCTCCATAATCTGCTAATTTTCCTATAAGCCATTTCGGATAATTATGATGTTGGTGCTACTGATAGTGATGATGCTGCTGTTGATGTGATGATGATTTTGATAACGATACTGCTGCTGATTATGATGCCGACGTTGATGGTACTACCACTGATGGTGATGACAAAGATGCAATCGCTGTTGGCGATAACGGTTGTCATGATAACGGTTATGATGACAACGCTGCTGATGGAGCAGTGCAGTGGCACTCTGTGCTGTATTATAAAGGCAAACGCACACAGAGGCACGGCGACTCAGAGACGGACACAGCCAGACACAGAAACAGATACTGAGGCAGATGCACAGATACATTGAGACAGAGATATAATTGTGTCACGGTTGTTGATGATGCCACCTCAGCCTAAATTGGTCATCATTGAGCTTGAATTTTCTACTATAGGCCCTTTGGCCCAGGCCCCTGGTTTATGATTCGTTTAACTGGCCTTTCACGACAGTCCTACTCTGACACCTCCATCTCAGTACTTTGTCTTAGCATATATCCACTGGCTTCGGATGCAAGGATGCCCGTGTTAGTTAGCATCACAGAGTCCATCAGCTGTTGCAATATTAAGCCGGCACTCACAGACGTGGTGACATGTGCGGCAAATCTCACTATGGTCACCCACCATGCTTCAACAACTTTCACACACAACTCCCAGTGTTTGGTTAGGTTTTCTGTGTTAGCAACCATGAAAGTAAAAGAGTGCATATTTTCAAGATGTACCTATCAAGGGACTATTTACACTATGCACATCATGGGATGTTCTGAGTCAAACTTCTATTAGTGTACATCGAATTAATGTCATCGTCATTTCGTTCAGGATCCTGCTCAATCCAGGTGTGTCAGTGCTTCGTCAGGAGTGATGCGATGGGCTATGAAGATATGAACACCGTTAGATCTTTATCTAATCCTCATTGATGTTTATGCTGAAGCAGTGACATGGCCAAGCGGCAGCGTGTTCACCACTTGTCGCAGGCGTTCACGGTTTGAATCCAGCAGCTGCCCCTGATTATTACCATCAATGTAATAACCGTAATAATTGTACGCACCATCTGCTGCACAGTGGGCATTAAATATTCCCTCACGTCATTTACGAGAGGTAGGGTCATTGTGAACTGACGTCAGGGTCCAATTTTTGCCAAATAAAAAAATGACCTGCACAATAACTCAATTGGGATTATACTTGGCAATCATCACCCCCTTACTGGCAGACATGCCCCAGGTCACTCTTGCAAATGCGACTATCCTTGCGTGTTGGGTTCTCACTGCCTGGTTAAACAGAATATACGTAAACCTTGAAATGGATGACAGTGAAATAAACAAATTATCCTTATGGGGGTACCCAAATAATACAAAATGGGCCGAGGCAATTAAATACTTTATTTCTGGGACACTATTTGTTTCCCAGGGGTGTTACTTCACTCTGCGACTGGGGTACCAATCAATCCGACATCGGTGCTACTCGGCGATGTCGAAACGCAGCGAGGACGATTTCGCTGAAAACCCTGAACGCTCGCGGTACGCACCGTAGCGGTGCATCGTAGTGTACAGCTCGACCAAGATAAGTCGAATGCCGCATCGCCGACCATCAACAAACTAAAAATGACTGCATCACGGACATTGGGTACCGTCATAAGGTTCACATATAATAGCATCGGAGGCGTGTCTGCCATGTGCTCTGCAACCACCCCTGATTACCCGACCATGTCAGCCAATCCCAATCTTCTATTGTGGGTTGAGGGTCGGAAGTGAGGGACTGAAGGACATGAGACAGTGCGTTCCTGCAACCCCTCCCCACCCAGCCACCATAGCTGCTCAGTATCTCACTGCAGCTGAGCACACCTCATTATGTTCCAGTACACAAAGCAAAAATGATCACCATGTCCCCTTGGATGTATTTGGCCCAATTCGTGTCAAATATGTAGTTTCACGCTGTCGCATACCCTCTTATGCCCATCCTGCTGCTAATAGACTGAGTCGACAAATCGGGCTCTGCATATCTCACGCACAAGCACACACGCACGCTCCTGTGCGTCTGTGTTGCCCCCTCCCTACCGCCAAGGGGGAGTTTGATGGTGTAAAGCCAAAGATGCTTGGTGCTACTTAAAACAATGATGTTGAAGAAGATGAAAGCGATGCTGGGAATGATGATGATTATGGTGATGATGGGTGCCAAACTTCGACGTGAATTGTGATGGAATGGGCTGGATGGCCCCTCTGAGTTGCTTGCATCAGCAACGCTCCCAAGGCATTCCGTGTGATAGACGAAAGGTTCAACTATTGGCAGAGGGTTTTGCTCTTACGCGACCCCACCATAACTCTGTTCTAACCCCACTCATTTTGGGCCATTGCATAATTGCGGAATGAATAATGGTGCAATGAATTCGTTGAAGTGTTGAATGGTCCATGATTTGCATATTTCACAATGCGGTAATTTTTTCTCCAAAAAACACCCGTCATTTCTCAAAAAAGTGGCAGAATGGCCAAAAACTCCACGCAAAGTCATTCAAGTAGTGACAGTACTCTCCTAAAGTAGAATTAAGCTGAGATATATTTTTTTTATAATTTCCTGTTCATGTATTTTAACATTACTCGTATTGGTTATCATTAGCGTGAGTGGTGAGTTTGATAATAATAATAAAGCAAATGTATAATGAGTGGATAACGTGTATCCATTTATTATGCAAGCTGTGTGGGATATAAGTGACATCACCAGTAATTTGTAGCTAATACTTCTTCACTCTAATCACAAGCTGATGACTGACCCTACTTCCCTTAACAAGGTGTCCCTACTGAAGCTCATTTGTGGGGTGAACACGATCAGCTGCCGGTCAAAGTACAACAATACCCTTTAGCATCCACAGTGGAATTTGGGTTTCATTTGTAGAGATCGCACATTACAAAGGGTACGCAAGCAATGGTTACTTGTCCTAAGCCAACAGAGTCCAGGTGCATCTGTTTGCGATGTCTTCAGGTACCTAACCATTCCCACAGGTGTTAGCAGAGCCAGTTCTGTGTGACGTGGGCTCGGCAGTACCAACAACACGGCTTGCCTGTAGCCCGCCCACTTGCCAGAGGGTTTGCACGCGTATTGGCTGGAGGGCTGGTTGAGTGGCGCGTTGCGGTCTGGAAGGCACTGGCTAAAGCAGCGTGAAAGACTCTGGACTCATTGGGTAATAAGAAGTGGTCTTGAGCAGCGTTAGCTCCAAGGGCCCTGTGCAGCATTTACCAACACCAGGAGCAACCGTTTAGTGGCAGTGCCAGTTAGGATGGACTCTCAGCATGACGCCAGCCTTGGTGAGTGGCCAGTCGTGGCATGAACCCCAGCAGAAGCATCCGTATGCCTGCAAGAAAGCAATGTCCTCATTCATGCGTTGGTGGAAAAGCAGTTTCTGGCAATGGTTGGTCGAAAAGATTTTTTAAAAAATGTTTCCAGTTTTAAAATATGTATTGCTGTTTCTGCCAACACGTCAATGAGATCCAACTCGTTTGTTTTGCACGTGTCTTTTCACAGAGGTTTAACGTGTGTGAATTTACACGTGGAGTGCTTCTGTTCGTGTTTCTGTGTATTTCTATATCTCATCATGTGTATAAGTTTACGTGTATGAATACATTTGCGTCTTGGGGTTGCTTGAGCCGTAAACGTGTACACGTGTGTTTTTCGCTTGGTTTAAATGTGATATAGTCTTGTGGTACGAGGGCGATGAGTAAGCGTTCATGTGTGCGTACATGTGCGTGTGTAATTTCCAACCTTCCTTTCAAGGATATTTCATGGATGCTATGAGATACACAACTGCAATTGGAGCACTGT